AGATTCAACTTGATGGAAAGGAGAGCTCAGGGCTAGCTTGTGGTTGACCAATCATGAGGGCAGATTGAGACTAGCTGGATTGAAGACTTGACTTGGGGATGATGGAACAAATGTCAGCTTTATCTTGTGGCCCTGGTCTTTGCCCTTCTCTGCTGGCTTTATTTCATAGAACTTCACTTTCATTCTCCTGCTCATGTATGGATGTTCAGAATCTCCCTTGCCCACGTCTCTTCTCTCTTGAACATTGCAAGACCTTGTCGTGAGGCTAATACGGAGAGATATGTGGCAGACCCTGGCACCCAGAAGTAGATGGCGAGGCTTCTTGCAGGGTTTAAGGTACACCATTGGTGATGCCTAGATTTCTACCCATGAATCTCAAGGATGCGGATCAATGGGCAGCCCCTGCCTGTCATTTTGTGATGGACCTCCAATAAACTTGGTGGGAAACCAACCTTTCACCACTGATGGGCCTTGGTGGCCTAACTCCAGCTTGCCCAGCTCTTCTTGCTAATGCCTAGCATGCATTTTTATACTCAAACTAAACACCAACTTATAAATCAAGGAATGAAGCACAGCCATCCAACCCATAGGCGAAATGTCAAATAGATTTTGTTGACACTAACAGGTATGTAAGGCTGCTCATGTAGCCGATGGTGGACGGAATAGGTCCAGTCAAATTGTTGAAGGCTAGAGACCTGATGGTTCATACCCATGCAGGGTTCCATTTTAGGGGGTAGAGAGAGATAGAGTAAGTTGTGGGTGGAGAACATTAGTAGAAACGAAATAAAAAAATAATCAAAGCATAAGCAGGGCGCCTTACACACATTCGAAAGGGCAGTTACGGGTGGCTGTAATAGTGGAAAATGCTACGCTGACCAAGGTAGAAAAAAACGATTGTCGGAAAATACGATCGTTTTTTTCGATGGTATTTTACGGTACCTTTTGGGAAAAAAAACGTAATTTTTTTGTTAGACAAAAAAAACTCTTCAACTTCAAAGATGCTGTTCTGATCACACAAGCACTTCTAGCAATCTTCCGCTGCATCATCAGCACTTCTAATGGCCCCCTTGTTCTTCTCACCAATCAATCCCCTTGTTTCAACAGCAGTTTTGGTATTTTTACTGAAAAAAACGAAGTTTTTTTTGCACCAAAGTATTTATTTTCAAAAACCGTTTTTTTTCATTTTTTTACGATCTTTTATTATGATACGGTATTTAACAATCAAAACTTGAAAAAAAACGTCGTTTTTTTGCACCTTGACAGTGACATGTGAATGTGACTGTTACACAAGGTACCAAACGTAGTAGGTGCATTATGTTGTGACTACAAACTGGTTCTCTATACTTTAACTCTAAAACTGTAACAAAATTTTGTGAAGAGCAGGTATTACAATATTGGTCAACGAGGAATATAACAGGAGGTTTTGGCCTGAAAAGTTACACAAGCATACACACATGTATAGACCAAAGCAGCAGTGAGGAGTATAGTGTGCATGGAGACTAGTGGTCAATTGGATACCAAGTAAACATATGGTGCTCAATGTTGAGTGCAAAATGTGGTTTGCACGTCAACCTACTGCCTATTCGCCGACGATAAAGGAAAATGAGAGTTTTGTTTTAAGGTAATCTGTGGAGTGTGGGGAGCGCATTTGTGTGCTTTACATTTGTGCGTTTACGGTTTGTGAATCGCCTTAGCGGTTCATAAGTTACATGCATTTGAATGTTCATGAATGTTCATGAGTTTCCGTGAAAGCGCATGAAAGTTCGTGAGTTTCGGTAAGTTCGCATGAGTTCGCGATTGTTCATGAGTCTGCGTGTGTGCTCATTGTTTCTCATGTGTTTTCGTCAGTTTTTATTAGAGTTCATGAGAGTTCATATTTTTTGTGCGTTTTAGAGAGTGGCGAGTGTTTTGCCACATTGACTAAGTCGCGCTGGTCAAGGTCAACTGCGCGCGAAGGTCAGGACCCGTGTGTGGGGTCCTGACATACGCGTGTGGTCCCTTAGGGCTCGCGCATGTGCTTCGGCACTGTTGCGAGCTTGGCAGGGCCCACGATCGCAACAGGACAGGGCACATTACTGCCCTGTCTCGCGCCAGGACAACGCACGATCGCGTACGCGATCGTCCTGTCCTGCATGACCGAGAAATATCTCGGTCATGCTGGCTGGCACGTGGGGAGCTCGGGATTTACAGTTGAAAATCTGTATCCCGTGTTGACTTGGCAAACATGAGGTTTCGCCAAAAATTCACGCCACATTGCGTGATCATTTCGACATAGTACAAAACGGTAAATTCTGTTTTGCAACGGGAAAACGGTTTTCCCACACGAGGCTTCATGAATGTTAACGGGAATTCATGATTGCTCGCGAGGGGAGTCAGCAGGGGCGTTTGGATCAAGTACAGCTCGAAGTCAGTTAATATAATGAAGCGGGTTAAGCCAAATGCAATTGAAGTTTGACAACCGTTTCACCAAGACAGCATGGCGAAGTCTCATAATACAGTTTTATAACTGTTAAATGCTTGCCTCGTGTCTGTTTTGCTCGTGCATTAGTAGTTCTATAAATGTGTGCTTGTGTTTCATTGTAAACAACTTTTTAGAGTGAATATTTTCCTCTATCAGCGTATTGACGTGAAGAGGAATTTTTGCACACGAGCCAATCAGTCGTTATTGCTTTCGCACATGAGTTTGGGAATGTTCTAAGGACACACGACTTTCATACTTAGGGAAACCCTCTACAAACACGGACCCTTGGATAGGGGCTGGTTTAACCAGGCACCCAAGGACCCTTGGAGGTGACCCCGTGGGGACTATCTAGCGTTGATTTAAAGGTGTGGTAAGGGCTTCTAGGTCCCATATATCAGTCTACACGTGGTATCAGAGCTGGTTCTTAGTCCTTTTGCACTTCTTGCCGTTAGAACATCATGGAGTAGGGCGGAACGGAAGGTTCACTTGCACGAGCTAATAGTGGAAGTCAAGATACAGGGGGTTCAGCGTCAAGAGAAATGCGGATCAGCCAGGGCTCACTATTAAGAGAGGTGCTTAAAAACTTCACCGTCGACAAGTTCAGCGGCAATGGGTACGACGATTGGGCGTGGAAAATGCAGCTGTACTTCCGTCAAGTTGGGTTGCTAAAGATAATGAGTGGTGAGGAGGAGAGACCAAGCGTTCCCGTTCTGCAAGGGGAGTGGGACGAGCGTGCATCGGCCGGATACTACCTCCTATCACAAACGTTGGAGCTGAACCAGAGAGCACATGTGATGCATCTGCTGGTGGAAGCCGACAATGGGTCGCGAGCTTGGAAGGTGCTAAAGGAGTTGCACGCGCCAACCTCGGTGATCGCAACGCTCATGCTGGAGCGTGAGTTGGCTTCATTGCGTTTGAATGAAGGGGAGCCGATTTAGCCGGTTCTTGACAAGGTGAGGGAGCTATATGTGAAGCTCCAAATTGCGGGCATCACCTACCCGGAGAAGATGAAGTGCCTACGCTGCTACCCGAGTCTTGGATGCCGTTCACGAGTGGGCTAAGTCTGCCTCAAAACCAGGAATCATGGACGCTTGAGTGGGTGCGAACCAAGATATTGGAGGAAGACTTTAGGAGGAGGCAGCTGAGTCACGGTGACGATGGTGACGGTGGCTACGGGGTGCAAGGCAGCGGATGACGTAAGGGAAAATGCCGGGATGAAGGTGAACGCGGGCGTTATAGAAGCAGGCGTGATGATAAGAAGCCGAGCAACAAGCGTGGTGAAGAAGATGATGATAACGAGGATGATCGTGGTGACTACCACAAGTTCAAGGGAGCTTGTTGGTACTGCAAGAAGCCGGGGCACACTTGGGTGAAGTGCTGAAAACGTCCGAAATGGTGGACCCCGGACAAGGAGACAATGATGGAGCTAGGAACCAACTTCATGGAGTTGGGCATGTAGCAGAGACCGCAAGTGACGGGAGAGATGATTGGGAGAGAGCACCGGGACAGTTTTTCCACGTGCAAGGGAACGGGGGGAGTGAGAATGCACCTGCCAAGGAGGGAGCAGTGCCTCATCCTCTCAACATGTGGGTTCTTGACTCTGGAGCGGCTTATCACATGACCCCAAGGGCGGACTTGCTAGACAAAGTTGGGAAGACGAGCATCACTGAGATGAACTCAGGATGCGGTTACAAGATGAATGTGCTTGGAGTCGGCAAGGCAGCCTTCAAAGGAACTGACGGGAAGCCGAATGTCTTGGAGGACGTGCTCTTGGTGCCAAAGTTGAAGGGGAACCTGATTTCCTTAAGAAAAATGAGACTTGCAGATGTGTGCACGACCACCAATGGAGCTGAAACATCGAGTGTTGTGGGACTTGCATGAAGACAAGGACCTGCACGATGAGTTGTGGCATGTTCCTGTGGTGCCATGGCATGAGATGGTACTTGAAAAGGAGAATGGGAGCTGCGGTTGCAAAGGGAAGTGTCTTGCAAGTGCTTCAGCGGAAGTGAAGGAGCTGAAAGTTACAGAGGAGAAGCTTGTGCAAGAGTTGCACAAGGTTAACGCTCGACTTGCAGCAGCTGAAAAGAGAAATGCAGCAGCGGCTCATGAAAACAATGGTGCTGGGACTAGGGGGAGTAATGGCAAGGTTGATGCTGTGCACAAGGGAAAGGGAGTGCACAAGGATGACACTCGTAAGCAGCAGAAACTTCATGGGATGGTGCAGCCGAGGGTAGGGATGAGCAGAGGGCGAACTCGAACACGTTCGGGTTCGCCTCCCCTCGAATAGGGCCATTTCCCGAACCGAACACTGTTAGGTTCGGCGAACTATTTGGCCTACGACAGGTGTTCGTCGTTCGCCTCGAACATGTTCGAGTTCGCCCAGAGGGAACTTCGTTATAGTCACAGTGGTCAGACAGGGGATTTGGACGGTCGGGTAGATAGATAGGAGTGTGGAGGGTGTCTCTGTGTTCATGCAATGCACACAAGCATACGAGACCGTCATGTTCTGTGAATATAAAAGTCAATGTCAAATAAAGTCCTACACCTGAACTCCACTGCTACTACCAACAACAGCCTGCTCCCCGCCAGCGGTGTCGCCAGCACCCACCCCCTCCTGCTCCTCCTCCCACTCCTCCTCCCCCTCCTCCTCCTCCTCCTCCTCCTCCTCCTCCTCCTCCTCCTCCTCCTCCTCCTCCTCCTCCTCCTCCTCCTCGTCGTCCTCCTCCTCCCCCACGCGGAAACGTCTCCCCTGGCAACTGAATGGACGGGGTGTGGTAACGGTGATACCACACGTGCATGTGCGCGGTGTGAAAGCTCGCGTAGTGGCGCTCACCGGGTGTGGTTGTGGATTGCTTCCACGAAATCGTGTCTGTGCAAATTTTGCACGGACGCTTCTCGTCTGCCCCTTTCGGTCCGAACATCATAACTTGCCACCCCGGTTTCTTACTCCCCTTGCCAGTCCCCTTACTACTCTCTGACCCTCCGTCCTCGTCTAGGAACTCCGGAGCGATCACACCGTCCCCCAAGGGCTCCCCAGTGAACGTGGCGGGATACGCCCGCTCCCTCACTTTGTTGGCCTGCTTCCTAACCCTCAGACCCGCCAAGGACGCGGGCTTTCTCCCCACCTTAACCCCCACGCTCCCTCCACCTTCAGCCACATGCTGTGATCCCGCCTCTGTCGCCGCCTCTACTCCACCCCCCTCTCCCACCTCCTCCCCCACCGCCTCCTGCACCTCTTCTGGCTCTAAATCATCCACCTCATGATCCTCATCATCATCCCCCCCTTCCCCACCACCATGCTTCTCGGGATCCCACCCCTCCTCACTGTCATCCCCGCTCCCCTCATTCTCCTCATCCTCCTCGCCCTCACCCGCCTCATCCTCATCCTCCTCCTCACTGACACTCTCTGGCAGCGTCTGCCCCGAAGGAGGGGGTCGAGGGCCGTCGTAACGGAAAGACTGACGAGATGCCGGCGCCGCAACGGAAAGAAACCCCCCGATGAAGCAAGCGCTGACTCCTCCAGGTCCATCCCCTACTCGCCCCTCCATAGGTCGTGGTGGAGAACCTGGTGCGCCGCCCCGAGTGCTGCCTGCACCTAACCCTACGGATCTACCATGTCCGGAAGCCATAACTCCACCCTCGGCCCTAAAACCCTAAACCCCCCCCCCCCCAGCCAACGGTCACGTGCCGAGAAGAACCACGGTCCTAAACATTTTCGAGCACGAATAGCTTTCTGAAATGCCCGTCCCGAACCCTACGGAGTTGACAACGCGCTCTCTGATCGTGGTGCTACTCTACCTTATAATCACCCTACACACACTTGGCTCTAGGAAAACCGTAGAGCTAATGTGCGTGGATAGTAGTAGAGGTAGTAACTACATGTATGCTACAAGTTGAAGGGCTAGGGCGGGTGTGAGAGGGAACCCTAGGCTAGGCCGTAAAAGCGTTCTGAGGCTGAGCTCACGAAATGAGCTCAACCTCGAATTGGCCGCGACCAGATTTAGGTTGCGGCCAAATTTGACGCGAACACATTGGGGTTTGCGTCACTCGTGTTCGACTTGGGGGCCCCAGATGATGGAGCCGGCGAACATGTTTGGCCGAACACCGAACATGTTCGCCCCAAACAATTTGGCAAAAAAAAAAAAAAGCCTGTTTGGTTCGCCTCGAACATGTTCGAGGCGAACCGAACAGGCGTTCGGGATTTTGCTCATCCCTAGCCGAGGATTGAAGCTGCTAAGGAGAAGACAATGTTGCCGAACTTTGCAAGCTTTGTAGCTGATAGGTTTAAGGTGAAAGGAGAACCCAAGGTGAAGCCGAGTTTGAGAGAAGCTGTGATTGTGGGGGAGCATAGGAGTGCCTTCCCAAAAACTGGAGTTGGGATCGGCAACAAGGTGAAGCCGGTCGATGGTGAGCAGTTTGGCGAGGATGATATCGTTCCTATGCCAATTATGAAAGCAATGAAGGGAATTGTCAGATCCATTGATGATGGTTGTGAATTTGAATAGTCGGCAGGTTGAGGGGGAGTTTGTTGAGTGCAAAATGTGGTTTGCACGTCAACCTACCACCTATTCGCCGATGGTAAAGGAAAATGAGAGTTTTTGTTTTAAGGTAATTTGTGGAGTGTGAGGAGCGCATTTGTGTGCCTTACATTTGTGCGTTTACGGTTTGTGAATCGCCTTAGCGGTTCATAAGTTACATGCATTTGAATGTTCATGAATGTTCATGAGTTTCCGTAAAAGTGCATGAAAGTTCGTGAGTTTCGGTAAGTTCACGTGAGTTCGCGATTGTTCATGAGTCTGCGTGCGCGCTCATTGTTTCTCATGTGTTTTCGTTGTTAGTGTTAGCCTTCAATCTCACACTTTTTACTTTGTATTTTCTATATCCTATAGTAGTGTAGTTTGCACTTTGTGTTTGGTTGGCTGTACACCTACATCCCAACCAAACTCAAATGTAATCTCCAAGCAATTTCCAACCCACCAATTGGAGATTGCCTTGGGATTACCCCCAATCCCTAGGGATCGTCTTCGATTCCCTTCCCATCCATTCCCTACCCTTCTTGGATGTACTTAAAGAGCTTCAAGCTCATTACTAATGCATCGTTTCTAAGCCTAAGTTCTAACATGGTATCAGAGCCCTTCAACCGCACACGCGGATCATGATCCTCTTATCTTTGCGGATGTTCGTCCCGCAAACCTCGGCGTAACTGTCAACGGGAGTTGTGTGTTGGCCCCGTCCTCGCTTGGACGGAGCCGACATCGTGGTCGGGTATGAGGGGAGCAGCCAACCTGCAGCAGTGGGCGAACTGGTTGACGAGGAGGTCGACTTGCACGGAGTCCACTGCACGGGCGCTGACTTCAGGGTGCCGCCGACTTCGGGGAGGTCGACTTGGGAGTCAACCTGCGGGGGGCGTCAACTTCGTGAAGCCAACTTCGGGTGGCCAACGTGGGTGGTCAGCCGACAACTGTGCTGGTTGACGAGGAGCAGGTCGACCAGGAGTGTTGGTCGACGTGGAGCTGGTCGACCAGAAGGGACGTTGACCTGGAGGAGGTCGACCGTGGAGGTGGTCGTCGACTTGGGAGGTCGACGGGCACGTACGGGAGCTGCTGGTCGACGTGGTTGCCCGGTCGACAAGGTTACCTAGGTGACGAAGTGCTGCGGAGGAGTGCGACGGTCGCCCAGGCGAAGTTGGCGAGCCCGACCTCGGTAGTGGTATCCTGAGGTCGTCGTGGCGGATCAGAGGCAGTCGTCAGCTCGAGGTTGACGTGGTGTGTGCGCTATGCAGGTGACGAGACTCTGCACGCCAATCATCTGCGCACAACTGCGAAGCAGGGTGCACTGCTGTCCTGCGTGAGCAACGCTGTCACGCCGTCAACCTGCGACGTTGGCACGCCGTCGACCTTGCCTTGCTGGAGCGCGGTCGACCAAGTCGTGCTGGAACGCGGTCGACCAAGCTGCGCTGGCAGTTGGCCGACCTGAATGCTTGCTCTGATGTAGTCTTGCTATGCCAACTTCATTGTACCATTGTTTTGACCTTTTCCTAGTGAAACTCTTGCCAACTTACCCCGTGAACTAGCAAGTAGTATGTGCGCAAGGAAACAACAAAGGAACAGAGAACGCAGAGATCACACGAGCACCCGTGCCTAGCCCGTAGTCTAGCTCCCGTTGTAGTAGTTATCTCCGCAGTAACCACCTTCAATCCGTCACCGGTGATTCGCGACATTCGTGGGCCGTAACTTTCGACGACATCTACAATTTCATTGGTAAGCGCATCGTCGGCGCGATAACCTTTCACTCGTTTTCGTCGAACGTCATCGCGTCATTTCTTCTCCTCGTCAGGCCGCCGCCCGTCGCCCTGCAGCTTCTCGACGGGCCGCCGCCCGTCGCCCTGCAGCTTCTCGTCGGGCCGTCGCCCGTCGCCCCGCAGCTTCTCGTCGGGCCGCCGCCCGTCGCCCTGCAGCGTCACCTTCGGGCTGCCGCCCGTCGCCCCGCATCTGCACTTCTACCCCATCCCCCCCCTTTTCCCGCAGCTGAACAGGTGCAGCAGCGCAGCCGAGCAGCAGCGCAGCCGCGAAGCCGAGCAGCCATGTAGCCGCGAAGCCGAGCAGCAGCGTAGCCGCGAAGCTGAGGGTGGTGTGTGGGGGGGTGTGTGGGAATAGGGCTAGCAGACACTAAATCAGTGCTTCCGTCATATTCTCCTTCGAAAACCCAAAACCTCAAAATTCTCTTTTGTAAACCCAAAACCCTCTTCAAATTCTCCTTCGTAAACCTTAAACCTCGAGTTCCTATCAGGGACTTAAGAGCGGCACTCCGCGCGAGACACTAAGAGCTCCTCATCATGGCATTTGCCTCATCCACCATGGCCAACCCCATCACCCCACTCCCCCTCATCCAAGCCAATGGCTCTAGCTCCAACTTCAAGGCATGGAGATATGGGGTTGACAAGCACCTCTTGAGTCGAGACGTGCAGGGATTGGACCTCAAGGACGTCCTCCTCAAACGTGGCAAGGGAAAACAACCCCCAATCCCCCGTGAGCCGACCGAATCCACTAGTGATACTGACATGAGGGCGTACGAGGAAGCTGTTGAGAAGTACCGGAAATAGGAGAAGGCCGATGCTGCTATCATCAGCGTCTTTATTGCCTCCACCCCTCTTGAACTTGTCAACACGTTCCACAACTACCCTACCTCCTACGCCATCTGGAAGTACCTCTAGGATCGGTTCATCAACAAAACTGAGGTCGGAGTTGCCATCCTCATCCCTAGCATGTTCCAGGTCCACCTTGAGGATTGCTCGGGAATGGCCGACTACATCGCCAAGGTGCAGACTATCCATGGCGAACTTAAGGAGCTGGGTATAGTCTTCCCCGAACAAGCTCGTGCAGCTTCCCTTCTAGTTGGTCGCACCTCGGCATATGAAGTAATGAGGAAGATGCTCCTCACGCTCTCAGCGGAAGACCTCACCTTTGCTAAGGTCTCCACCGCACTCCTCTCTGCTGAGAAAGACTCCACGGCTCAGGCCAAGGCTTACGCCATCCGCGCTCCCATGCCGCAAGCAAGTGTCGCCTCGGCCCCCGCCTCGGCGCCCTACCAGCGCAACCGCTTCCCTCCGTGCACCTACGTCGTCAAGTATGGCAACCGCAAGGGACAAGTGTGTGGTGGCACTAACCACCCCCTTGCGACGTGCTTCAAGAAAAAGGACAACAAATGGTATGCCATTCACGGAGTGGACAAGAAGCCGCCAAACTAGATGCGCCCTCGAAAGGCCAACCTAGTTGAGGTCTAGGACCCCGCTTCGGCTAGTGCTAGCGATAGTGCTCCTGCAGATGTGCGTATCACCCTGTTATTCTCTGGCACTACCATGATTAATGAAGCTACCTTCCAGTACGTCGGCTCATCACAAGCACCACAATACATAGAGTTCACACTCGACAGCGGAGCCACCCACACTGTGCTCAAGGAGACAGTCTCCTTCAAACCCTACGCAACACCCATTCCTCTCTTGGGAGCTGACTCAAGCTTCACCATTCTTGCCAAGGGTACATCCACAGTCCCGTGCCCCGCCTTCCCATCTGGCACTGTCACTAGCATGTGCGTGCCTTCACTACGCCACAATCTAGTGGCTCAGGATGCAGGACTACGCACTGTGTTCTCGGAGAACGAGGACCATTGCGACATCATCGATCCACTCACCAACAAAATCTTAGCCCGCTTCAACCTCAATAGCAACGGCCTCTACACGCTACGTGTACCTCTCCCACAGGTGTCAACCACCCAAGCACAGGCTACCATCACACCATGCCCATGTTGCAGCCTCTCCAACCCGACCATTCTTTACCACCATCGGCTCGGGCACCCAAACTTCCGCACACTTGCTGACATGGCCTCCAAGAAACTTCTTCTCGGCCTGCCAACCGCACTTCCTCCACCACCTGATTGACCCGCTCCCACATGCCTTGATTGCACCAAGAGCAAACTGCGCCAACAGCCCCATCCTGCCTCACCCACAGTCGCAGCAGCAACTCTGGACCTCGTGCACATGGACGTCTGCGGCCCTGCCCCCGTTCCCGCACGAGGTGGCCATCGCTATTTCCTTGCAGTTGTGGATGACCACTCCCGCTATGTCTCTGTT